AATCTAAAATTTAGATTGTGCTATTATGTTTATGTCTAAACGGTAATAACTACAAAAATTATCATGATAATAAATCTTGATCAATATCATTAATTAACGTTGAAGTTACATACTAAACGTCTAATATTATTGAATCGATATATATATATATATTTAAATTTCATTCCGCTTATATTTAAAAAATAATTAATATAGTATGTACGTGTCGTGTTTTGGTAATACTTGCACAAGATAAAAATAAATTTTAAATCCTATATGAGCCCTACTATCAACCTATAAAAACTTTCCATTAGTATACTCTGTAACAAGCTGAATGAGTTCAAGTATGAAGGAAAATATGAAATAAGGGTTAAAATGTTATTCCACTGTTTTAAATTTAAGAACAATATGAGCTGTCAAAGAACCAAGTCTTCAAAAATAAATAAATGTGCTGATAGCGTTGCACGGAAATAACACCGCGATGAAATAGTATGCGAATCGTTCAAAAGCACGGCGTGAAATTGCAATGCAAATTCAAAAAGCACAAAAGCTCAAAAGCTTCCAAAAAAGCTCTCTGCGAACGCACACACACACTAATAAATGAAAGCAGACATGGGAAACATAAAGCGACAAACGAAACACAGGCACATCAAAGGAATAACAAATATTACAGGTGTGTTTCGAGTTTTGGGGTATGATGTGTTAAGGTTGCACTTACCATGACATAGTGCCTTTGCATTTCCGTCTTCTCCTGCACGAGCTTCTCGCATTCCATTTTCAGGCTGGTTGCAAAATAATATCAAGTCGGTTGCAGAATTCCAACATGCGATGTTCAAGTGTCGTAATGTGTTCGTGGTTGGTTCAGTGTGTTTTTGTTTCATCCAGAAAAACACAACGGAGATGATGGTGGAGAGATGAAAAAGAAAACAAAGCAAAAGCCCATATGAAGCCACAATACACATAAATGTTAATATATTAATTAATGATGAATGAGCAATTTATACAAAAATAAATAAAAATGTTTTTAGTTGGAAATAGTTTCTTGCATGATTTTTTTTAAATATCTATAACATTTAAATTTCCTAATAATATGTTCAAGAATTATGTTGGAAAACAACAATAATAATATTTTCAATAATTAGTACTCCAAGAATTCGCACATGTATTAAAATAATATTTGATTCTTATGAGAGTTTATCTGGCGAATTTGTTTTAAAAATATACCACAAAAATCAATTACTGTTTGTTTTGTTTTGTTTAATTTAATTTAATAAATAATAGATATCTAAAAATGTAGTCATTTACAAATTACATGCAAGAATCTAATTTTATTGATGTATTTTAAATAAATAATATTGTTGTTATTAAAGCAAACTTCCTATGTCATCGAAAAATAATTGAGTAGCCAAACAATAGCATATTATTCAAAGCACTCATTAATATTCATAAAAATTCAATAATGTCAGTACTCAAATAATGAATAGTTGCATTAGTACCACATAGCATGCAATGTATATTCAAGATAAATCCAAGTTATTTCATTGATCTGTAAATAATCGATGTCATCCAATCACGACCCGGTTCCAATATTCAAAAGCAAATAAAATAATTGTTTTCACGAGATAATAACGTACAATGTTTCAATTTAAACATACTGATTACTATTCAGTCGACATTTACACAACAGTTGAGTGACTTCATACGAATGTGATATACTGTAAATGTTCGGCGGTGTATGTATCTATAAATACATTGAGTAAATATAAATGAGCACGACAACAATAAGTTAAACATTATGGGCGTTGTTATCGATATTTTACGTCACAACAAGACTAATGGCTTCGGATTATAAATATTTGATAAGAAGCGGGTCTCTCAGCACGCCGTACAATTTTCCCTGGAATAAATGTCAAAACGGGAATTATACGATGTAGAAAAGCGTTAATTATGTTCTTATTAGTAAAATATTCATGAAACAATCATGTTATTAAATATCATTATGTCATCGTACACCTTGTTCAGAATGTATACCGCCTATGTGATGTAGATTATATATAATACTTCTAACGGGTAGAAATAAACATGTAATAGTTGGGGTGTAATTTGGGATAGGTAGTATAAACACAATGAAAATTAACAAGCATATACTCATCAGAACTTGATATTGACTGAAAATTTGTAAATCAATCATTTTTGTTTTATGAATATCTGGACAGCATTGCCTTACTTGCAAAAGCGGTCATTATACTGCATGAACTCATAAGGAAATCTTTTATTTTAAAAATTTAAATTGCTTTAACACTTCAATCAAATAAATAATTACTCCTAATAAACCGATACATAATTTTCTTTTAAAAATCATGCATCCTTACAATCGGAGCCCGTCATCAATTTCTTTTAAATACTGCAAGTGAGCTTTGGTAAAAAGCTTTTCTAAAGTACTAAGTTAAGGAAATATACCGCAAGTATCGTTCTGTTTCATAATTACGAGTACTATATCCAAATCCTTAGCTAGTTTGACTTTATAATTGATTTTCTGGTGTAAAATTACATCAATTTCTTCATGATATATATGAACCTAACAAGATTTCGAACGGAAGCTTACAACTGAAAACATTTCATTTCTATAGGAGTCTTGACAAGAGCATAACCCAATGCAAATTTGCTCTTCAAAACAAAGGACGACGCTTGTTGGATGATGTTTTCCCACAAACGCGGTTTTGTAATTAAAACATATCCAAAATTGATCAAGCCGATGAACCATTTCAGCGGCACGGTGGGGAGATTAATAAACCACCAGTGTATATGAAATCATATTGGGATAGAAGCCGGTGTAAATTATTAATCTCACAAAATAAAATAATAAAGCTATTACGTAGATTTTGAGAAGTCTAATGAGTTACAAGAACTAAACTCGTAAATTATTGTAAAACATATGTATCACATAAAAAAAACTACAATTTGAAATTTGGCATTCGCAATTTGGATTCGCTATTATTCATTATATGAAATAATTGAAATATTTCGTATGATCAAATGATCAAATCTAGCTTCCGGCAAAAATTTTAAAACATTTAATTTAATTATTAAAATTTAATTATTAACAGTAAAAATTATTTCTGTATTTAAAATATCGATTTCATTAATATATAATTCCTTAATTAATTTTCCAATGCACAAATTAACAAAAAAAATGCTTTTTGTAAAACGAAAATGTGAAAATTATATATTCATCCATTTATAGTAGTTACCAACAAGCGTTGGGAATTGGATTTCATTTTATATAAAATGCTTACAGCAGAATATAAAATAATGCATATAGACACACTATAACACGTTTTTCGTTGTTGTTTGTCAAAAAAAACATTCAAAGCTCTAGCTCTCAGTTTATTTGAGCATATGAGCCAAATATAACTGATCGGTAGGTAGACTCCTGACCGGGCATTGAAATATGCACACAATTGTGAAATCCGCGTGAAATGATGATCGAATCGGATATGATGGAGTGTGTGGCGGAATTTGGTCCCTCGATGTTCATACCGCAATGTTTGTTGAAACGCTGAAGAGTTCGTTATGCTATTAATTGGCACCGCAGATTTAAATTGACTACTGATCAATATATGATGAAATAAACGGTGTGAAAGAAAACCATCCGGAATTTCGAATGTAAATATATTGTGCTCACTTATTCGCTTCTACTATACACTGACCGTCGCCAAGCATTTCAATCTGTTATTACAAGCGACATTTCGCCACCGAATATCGAATTAAGTTAAAATAACTGTAATTTTACACAGCAAATAAGGAGCAAACTTTCCGCAAACATTTCCGCTTCTCGAACGTTTTCATTAGCGCCGAATTTAATTAGAAACTCGCGACTGCCAAAATATGTTTGACGTGCCAATGCAGCCGTGAATATAATACACGCATTTCTCCTCCCGACATGACGCATCCGAGCGCGGTTCGGGGGCTCCCTCGAGGCCGTGCATAAGGGAATTAGTACAGGATTAAACGGCCGATGCTCGAAAGAGATTACATTTCATAATGCATATACGATGTCTGTTATTGCATACACAATACAAGGTACAGCAGCGGTTTCCAACCTTTTTTTCCTTGCGCCCCACTTTTGAAAGAAAAAAATATTGCGCCCCCCCCTAATTTTTTTAACAATTTAATTTAAATATACTTAATTGAAATTATGATTTATTAATCTCGTACCAAATAATGCACAATATACATACATACAAAAATAAACATACAAAAATATACATACAAAAATATACATACAAACATAACTATGGATTATAGGAAAAAAATAATTTTAAATTTAATAAAAACAAATGATATAATATTTCACACAATATTAAAAAATTAATGCGACGGTTGAGCTTGTTTTTCAGCACAAATTTTCTCAAACCGCGGCTCCATTGTAGAAATCGCTGTTCTCAGTTCCTTTTCTATCACTAAACGAGATCGGTACTTTGTTTTTAATACTGCTACTGCAGAAAAACCAGTTTCACATAAGTAGGATGTCACAAATGGTAATAAAATTTCTAAGGCTTTATTTGTCAAAGTTGGAAAATCGTCCTTTACTTGTAACCAAAACTTAACAATATTCTTTTCGTCCTGAAACATCTGCTTCAATGTGCTATCACTAGATAAATCAATTATCATTTCCTGCTCTGCCGTTGGAAGTCCAAAATTATCATATTTATCAATAACAAATGGATTTCTAATCCATTCGTATTTGGACATATCTAGATCTTTGAAGTAATGCGCAAATTGGTTCCTTAAACTAGTCATATGATTGATAATAAGATCTTTACTTGCTTCTATTTCATCATCATTAACACATGTAGTTTTAAAAGAAGGAAACATATCAAAGTTATTACTTTTCATACTAGCTATCCACAGCTCTATTTTTTTCATAAACGCCGTAATCTTGTCCTTTTGAACAAAAGCATGAATTTGAGTTCCTTGCATTGATTTATTTAAATCACTTAGTCTTTTAAAGATGTCAACTAGATACGCAAATTTTGCGAGAAACTTCGTGTCATAAAATATGTCTGCTTCATCTCTTTATTATCAGCAAGAAAAATGGCAATTTCTTTTTTGAGCTCAAACACCCTTTGAAGTACTTTAGCACGAGAAAGCCAACGTGCTTCACAATAATAAAGTAGTGCTTTGTATTCTGAGCCCATGTCATCACACAATTTTCCAAAAAGCCTTTCTCTTAATGGACTATTTTTGATAAAATTAACAACTTTTATTATAATTTCAAATACTTCAAGTAATTCTTCACCCATATTTCTTGCAACAAGAGATTGCCTATGAATCATACAATGCGTCCAAACTGCACGAGGAGCCACTTTTCGAACTAGGGCCTGCAGACCAGCATTTTTTCCTGCCATAGATGGAGCTCCATCAGTGCACAGTCCAACACAGTTCTCCCATAAAATACCATTTTCAATAAAAAAGTTATCAATCATATTAAAAATTTCACTCGCCGTAGCTTTGCCTTCAATTGCCTTACAGAATAACAACTCTTCTCTAATATCATTTTCCATAACATATCTTATATATGTTATTAAGTGTGCATCCTTAGCAACATCGGTAGCCTCATCTACTTGCAACGCGAAAGAAGATAATTTAATTTTTTCTATCAACTGATCGCAAAGATCATCAGATATATCTGATATCCGTCTTCCCACCGTATTATCTGCCAGCGGAATGCTTTTAATTTGATCAGCATATGATTCACCAAACATCGTAGCTATTATGTCAATAGCTGCTGGTAGTACTAAAGTTTCTCCTATTGAATGGGGTTTTTTGCATTTAGCAATTCTATACGAAACTTTGTATGACGCAAGTAACGCTTTTTGTGATACAGACAAAGCTTTTGAAAACGATTCTTTCTGTTTATTTAAGTTATCTAATTTTCTTTGGAAAAATTCTTTTGTTTTGCCAACATGATCGGCGTGCACTTTTTCCAGATGTCGTTTTAATTTACTTGGTTTCATGCTATCTGAGGCCAAAGTATTCATACACAGCAAACACATTGGTCGTTCTTGACCATTAATGATCTTATACGTAAATCCCAATGATAAGTACATTGGATCATATTTTCTATGTTTAGTTTTACTATTTTGTGAAGAAACATTTCCATTATTTTCACCACCCTCTTCTTCTGCTTCATTAAATTTTCTTTTCAACCCAGTCACGTATTTATCCATTACAAACGGTTTTTATAACAAATCAAAGAAAATCACTTTTTCACTACTTTTCACAATAATTCCTGGCTAATAATGTGCTAAAACTAAAGCTATAAATTTTAACTCAATAATAATTTAGAAATGATTTTTTCTATATATCAACGCGTGTATCTCCAGCACAACTAATGAACTAATTCGATTTATAGATAACAGAATAAAAAGGATGCATTTGTTTATTTACTTAAGTTAGTCTCGAGTAAGCACGTGAATATTCGATATGATCCGAGTGTTTATCTTTTGTTTATAGGCCTACAGCTCACTCAACTACAAACGCAAAAACGAAATATTTTGAATGCACCAAAAGTATAGTATATTCATGCTTTTACATTTGTCCTGACAAAATTGCAGCGAAAATTGTAGATAACTTGCATACATTTTGCTGATTTGTTTTTGACACTTACTCAGCATTTAACAACCATATTTTTGAAAGAGCTTCGCGCCCCCCCTGGGACGGCACCGCGCCCCACCAGGGGGGCGCGCCCCACAGGTTGGAAATCGCTGAGGTACAGGGTTATATGATGTAGAGACACAATGATGGCTGATATAGACGTCGAAACAAAGAAAATGTATTAGCAAATAGACTGCAAAATTTGGAACAGTAATACGATCGATAAATTCTAAGTGTTGCAAATTGGCAAACTGATAAAATTGCTGTTAACGAAATAATATATGAAAATTAAAAAAAAAAAGTAAATACTAAGTGTTGCAAATTGGCAAACTGATAAAATTGCTGTTAATGAAATAATGTATAAAAATTTTAAAAAAATAGTATTTTTTGCATAAACATCTAATTACAAAAATAAAATTATTTTCGGTACATGCTCCTTCTTAGATTAAGACATACGCTGCGTTTTAGATACTTTGCTTTTAAAATTGTTAATATACAAAATTAAGGAAAAATTATAACTAACAAAAGGAACCTCTGGTTTACTCTTCTGGAATATTGATGAAATTTTGCATGGTGATATATAGATCAAAGATTTTATAGATAAAAGAGTTCAAAATGATCGGGTTGAAATCCCGCCAGCGTATAATTTTTATTTTATTTATTAATTTTTATGTTTAAATAATTGAATAATGCAAAAATATTTAAGCTGACGGGGTTTAAACCTGATCATTTAACTCCTTTATCTATAAAATCTTTTATCTATGTATATATGAGCAAGAGCCTAAGTTGATGGAGCTATAGAGACATACTGATACGTATAATAAAACATATTAATTTTTGTAATTTGCACCATTTCTCATAGGCCTGTAGTATTTCAAGCCGTTCAGTTTGACTAAACTGAACTAAACTATCACCATGCGAACTTTATTTACTATTACAATCTTATATTTTCATTAATTTAGGTATCATTTAGACAATTTCCATAATCGCATACAACACTGCGATTGAGGGAGCTTTAAAGGTAAACTTTCCATCAGCAACTAAATTTTATGTAATTTCGCGAAAATCAACAATTTGGTTGTCAGCAAATAGAAGCCTATAATAACTTATTAATCCACGGTTGCTCTGAACGTTCTATAGGAGAGTGGTAAATTTGAACATTATCAATATTTGATTTAATATATTGCAGATTTATTAACATAGAAGTAGCTGCTTGCGTTCATGATGACATCAATGCAAATATATTGAAACACAGGCACAAACACGCACTATGCATTTTATCTACGTCATTCAAATTACATCAAATATTTGGAGAAATAAGATAAATAGTAAAGTGGTAAAGTTATCTTTTGTACCAATGATTAGGTAGCACAGGTTTAGACAAGAATGCGGAAAGTGTTCATTAAAGAAATAAAAAAGAGAGGGTGTTAGAAATGAAATGGTGCATTGATTTTGGACTTGTCGCTGTGGCTTGAATGAAGTGGGTATATTATAAAGCTTCAGCCAGTCTGTTCAAAATTTACGTATCTATTAAAAACATTGGCCTTCCCTGTTATGAGATATACAAACGACACGAAGCAAACCCGTATAATTTACAAACATACACTACCTCTTTTCATATTATGCATCGTATTGCAATTTCAACAGTAGCTCATATGTACATATGACGCAGAGCCATTCGCTCAGTAGCAAACATGTACGTACTTTGTACATTCGTTTTTTCGAAATGTTTTGTTCCAATTACCTTCATC